CAAACCGCTCAGTCTGCATCTTGGGACTTTCCCAAGCAACTTCAATGGGGTTCTCGGAGGTTTCTCGCGATGTCGGCGGCGACGGCCCTGAGTGTACGCGCCAGCAGAGGAAGTCGCATGCAGAGGAGTTCTGCAAAATGCGACTACAAAATCTGCCAGGCTGTCTTCGCACGTTTGGCCGCGCCAGGTGGGCAGGCGGGGAGCGGGTGTGGCCTGGGTTCGGGTGGCTTAAATCCTAAACCCTTAAAGCCGGGTGAGCGCAAGGGTTTAAAGGCTTAATTAAAGGTTTAGGAACCCGGGCTTGGGGCTTGATGAAAAGGGAGTCTGGTGCTTTGATTTGGAACGTTGCACCTTCGATTCTTCATCGTCAGAAGTCCCTGAGCACTGGACCCCGACTCCACCTCAGCAACAAGCAGCGCTTTGCAACAGAGCCTGCCCCCATCTCCCTTAAAACGCCACTCCTGGCCCAAACTGCTGTAGTAGATGCACTTAACCAAAACCCCTAGGCCTCCTCATGCAGCCAAGAGTCCACCTAAGGCACGACTGGAGAATCCTGCCTCGGCCGCTGCTGGAGTCCGCAAGTCTTAAAAGCTCGGCCTTTGGAGGGTGTACTTTGTCCCTGAACCCGAAACCCTGTACCCCGAACATGTCTTGGGCTTCAACCGCCAATGAGACCCGCGATCAGAAGCCATGCAACGCTGAGCTATCCGAAACCTTGACTCCTACTCCGAGTTCGAAACTTTTTTGCTTGCTTTTCCTAATTCCCCCAAGCTCAACCCTCTCATGACGAAACGCCGTGAACTCTAGCTTGACAGCTTTCACCCTCCGCTTGAAATCGTAAATCTTATCCGCTAACCGTTCATTAAGCCCTAAACCAAAAACCGCATCCCCTAAACCGTACACTCACAAGGATTCTTCGATCTGGAAACAGGGCACGGGATGAGGTACGACCTGCGCATCGATGCAGAGTTCCTGCCATGGCAGAAGGCTCTACATGTTGACACTGAGCTTACTGTGTAGGTGGTGCTTACATTCCTAGACATGTTGTTACCCCGTTGTATGGCATAAACAGTGGCCGAATTCACGGCTGTTTCCCGTAACAAGAGACATTTTGCGCTATTGCAGTCGTTGACATGCGTGTTGCTTCTGCTGCTAAATGCTGCTGGCCAGAAGGTCAGTACCCAGTGTTGTCATCCGTGATATCGCCACTGCAGACCCCGAGCGTGGATATTCGATGCAAGTTGCGTCATGCATCATCGTAAACTAAGAATGACCGCTACTAGCTACACATCTGGAAGTAATCTTGACTTATCTTGTTGCGACTGCAACTGCTGTTATCCAATACGAGTGCTACTGCGGCTCCAAACTGAAATCGTAACTGTTGTAATCCCTATCTTCTGCAGGGCACATTTAAGGAACTCACGATATGGAGCCCTAACATGTAGTATACTATCGGCTTGTACTCCTTGTATCATCATCCCTTTTCCTTCCCGCCTACACTCTGCTCCAATAACTAAGGTCCCTATATTACCCGCGATTTTTAAGGTTCGGATGGGCCTAATATACGGGCCTTTACAATTAGAACAGGCTTTTTTTGGCGAGGGGGGGGGGGTATTTTTTCTACAAAAAATAAGAAGGAACCCCCCAAAATAGTGTTGGTTAATGCTTAGGCTCCTACAGTAGGAATCAATTGAGGTTCCCGAGCCTTGGGTGCCAAACCCAGGGCCAGAGCTGCAGCCAAACTGCTGCCTGCTGAGGGGTGGAGTCCACACTTTGCGGTTTAGGGTTTAGGGTATCGACACTTTCATGTTTAGGATTTAAAGCTCCAGGGATTAAGGCTTGAGAGTTTCATTTCGGGTCTGTCTTGGGGAGGGATCTCATGAATTCATCTCGGCATTAGGGCCGAGCTTTGGTTTGGGATTCACCGGGTGGTCTTACCCTTCCCGCGCTTAATTTCATGACTTAAACAATTCGTCTGGGCTTTAGAAGCTGATGGTGATAACAAAAGATGTCTGAGGAATGGTTTGTGTACTGCCATGTACCCATCTCCGACGCCATTGTGAATCCATGTGGTGATGAATGAACCAGCTTGTTCAGAAAGGAACAGCCGGAGGCCTCAAGCATTCAATCTCTAGCAGGACGTATTCCCTGCGCAGCTGAGCAACAGACGTTGTGACATCCTGCCCCAAAGCCGGAAACCCTAAACCCCAAACCCTCAAGCCTTCACCCGAAACCCTAAAGGCCCTAAAGCCTTCACCTCAAAACGCCATGGCCCCACATAGTGCAGAAGACCCTGAAGCCTTGAACTCCTTCGCTGCCCACCTCGAGGCATACGTTGCCCAATGTTCGCGTGCAGATGGGCCCAGATGGGCCGGAGATTGGGAACAGCTGGTGACAAGATTCCTTGTTAATTTAGGGTTCCTTATGTGCAAACTGTACCATAATTAATATGCTAAGTTACAGTCTAAGCCATACTCCGAGTCTAATTCTGAGGGCCCTGGTTCAGCGTTTTAGCGGCCTATGGGGCTTGGAGGCTTCAGGTTGAGGAGGATGCTGCGGCTTGGTGTAATATCTGGGGTTTACTGTTCAGGATCTAGGTTTAGGGTTTAGGGTTTTGGGGCTTCTAGTGGATATAGAGGCTGCACCAGCACCACTGATGATCACAAGCATAGCTGTTTAGGAATGGTGCCTAAGGACCTTCAAACTTCCAACCTCTCGGGCCGTCAGGTTCTTAACCTGGCAACACACACACACGCACGCCCTGCAACTGAAAACCCCTAGCCCTGAACAGCCTCAAACCGTAGGCTTCGCAGACCTGAAGAGGTCCTTAATTTCGAGCCAACGACTGCGAAAGATTGTGGTGGTTCTGTAGAGGGGCGAGTTGAGCGTTGTGGGCTTCGTCGTCTGGGGTCCAGGATCTAGTGACTTAGTGTTTAGATGGGTCCAGGCGAAAGTCCCAAACACTACGCGTAAGCCGGTAAATACTTCAGAGAATTAATTGGGCTACCGGAATGTATCGGCCTCAGGCCCATCGCAAACCGCTACATATACGGAGCAGCACTCTCAGCAACAACCTTGTTCTCAGTCTCCCAGAACAGTCTACTCGACCTTTCCTTACCAGGTAACCCCAGTAACTCAGTACCCTAAGGCTCCATAGTAGTTTCTTTTTGGGGGTTCATATATAGAATCCCATAAGGTAATCCCAAAAAGGAACTACTATGGAGCCTCTGGGTATGCCAGCCCAAAGGGCCTTCAAAGCCCTAAACTCTAAACCCTAAAAGGCTGTCGGTTTTTAAAGGGACCCCCCCCAAAACGTTCAGGCCTTCCATTCCAGGTTTCGAGTCTGGAGTTCGAAATGGCTGAGCTTTGAAGGGGGTTTAGGGTTTAGGTAGGACCATTAGCAACGACATTCCCTTGTTGTCCCTATGTATCTATCGCATCGCATACCCCGAAAGCCCTATTCTACTCGTTGAGGCCCCTATACTAAACCATTATAGAACCCTTATAGTAACCCGGAAAGGGGCCCTTAAAGCAATCCTGTTTTAAATACTGACGCGCCTATACTAAGAAGAACCCGCAGAGGATGATTCCAAGTCTCACAATGTAAATCGTGCCTGAAAAGGTTTACAATTAGGTAGGGTTTAGTTTCATGTGCAATAGGTAGGGTTTAGGGTTTAGGGTTTAGGGCTTTGGCCTTAGGGTAGTATACCCCAACCTCTTGCAATTACTGTAGGAACCCCTTGTCGGAGTGGTTCTGTTAATCACCCTGTTGTCTAGGTTCGATAAACAAACCAGGTGACAATTTTCTGGTACTCTTATGTTGGGGATCCTGTTTGGAAACTCCAGAACCTAAGCCCAAATCCTAAACACCAAACAATCAACTCTAAACCCCCTAACCCTAAACACCAAGCCCGAAACTCTACACCCTAAGCTCGAAACCCTAAACCCCAAAGCCTAAATCCTAAACCTCAAGGAGTCGAACTCATCCAAGCCCTTCTTGTGGTAACCTCAGCACCCCCCTGGTCCACATAATGTAGGAGCCTCATTGAATATTTCGCAATAGGGTTCCTGCAAGGGTGTTTTTAACCATTACGTCTTAAGTTCCATAAGGGTCTATTACTGGGGCCTTGAAAATTCGAGTAGGGAGCTGTGGTGTCTTTTACGGGGTCTATATGGAGATGTTCCTATAGTCTTCAAGTTGTACCTCAACCCAAACGTGGCCCTGTTAAACCCAACAAACAACCTTGTGAAACGCTCTTCATCCAAATAAACCCCGCTAACACCAGTATGCCTTAGAAGGGGCCCCCACCCTGTAATAGTGGTATAATAGGAATATAGTAGGGCCCTATATAATGCTTGTAGTTACTATTACAGGGTGGGGGCAGCTTCTAAAGTATGCAGCCCCAAAAGTCCTTATTCAAAGCCCCAACAAACCCTGAGCCCCGAAGAAAAAAATCCAAAACAAGAACCCGAAACTCTAAGACCCTGAAGCCCTAAACCGCAAGAAGTGAAACAAAGGAAGAAAGCCCTAAGATCTAAGACCCTGCAACCATAAACCGTAAGCGCTGCCAAAGCATGAAACCCCAAACTCTGAAGGCCCTAAAGCCCGAAACACTAAGCCGCGAAGAGCACACAACTAAACCCTAAACTCTAAAAAAACCCTGAAGCCCTAAACCCTAGACCCCCAAAACAAAGAAAAACAAACTAAAACACAGATCCTAAGTTCTAAGACCCAAAAAGGAGTTTCCGAAAATTGGGGACCCTAATATAGAACCTTAATTGAATAGGAGGATCCTTATTACAAGGACCCTAATAAGGTACCCCTAATTTACGGAAACTCCCAAAAGCAGTCCCATGGTTAAACCCAAAGCCTCCAAAACCCCTTAATTAAGGAATATACCCTAAATTATAATAGGATCCCTTATATGATTTAAGGTATATTCCTTATTTAAGGGGTTTTGGAGGCTCTGGGAAAGCAGACCCATGGTTGGGGCTCTCGCCCATGCCGTGGGATACAGGATGATGGCCCAGAGGAACTGCCATTCTGTCCTGCTGGGCTTTAGGGTTTTAGGGTTCAGGGTTTAGGGTTTTAGGGTTTAGGGTTTAGGGTTTAAACCCGAACGGGTTTAAAGGGAACTCCAGAAAGTTGGAATATGGATTAATGGTAGGATCCACTATAATTTACCTTAAAGGGGTTACGACAATGAGATTCCAACTTTCTGGCTTCTACTGTAGGGCTTTAGGGCTTCAGGGTTTAGGGCTCTAGAAAAAATCTTACGGGTATGAGGGTTCGATCAGGGTTACGGTTTGATTATAGGGATACTACAAGGCTTACTATACAGAGTACTAAGAGGGGTACTATACAGGTTGCTGTAAGGTTTAGCTCTAAGTATCGGGGCGTGCATAAGTATGTTTTTTTAATTTCCCTTAAGATTCCTTAACTATACTATATAGTTATCATAGTTACTACAATATGCCCACCCCCAACCCAATTGTAAATATTAGGGTCCCTGTATGACATCCATGGATGCCGTGTGCTCACTTGCAATCCCTTCAGGTTCGGAGCTTGACTCCAGGCCACCGTTTCCGAGAACTGCATCTGTGGAGTTTAGGGGTTTAGGGGTTTAGGGTTGAGCTTGAGGGTTTCAATGTTGCAATGCAATCTGCTGGGTGAGCCTCTATAATGTGTGTATTTTTGTTCTCCGGGGTGCCCTCCATACTCTATACTGCGCCAAGAGAAGTCGCCAAGATCTTTGTTGCTGTTTTTGCCTTTCCGCCCAAATTGCCAGTCTTAACTTAAGCGGAGATTTCTCACCAAGGCTTGGTCGGTGGTGAGCAGGGAGTGTAGGATGAAGGAACAAGTCTTGGACATGTTAGTCTTGGTAGTTCTCTTGGAATGGTCGGGTACTGGTTTCGAGAACCCCATGCACCCGCATATCGCTCTGCAAGCGTACGACCGATCTTGGGGAGCCCCTAAAGCCCCTTAAACAGCCTTAGGTACCGCCAAACACACCTACTGCACTACTAGTGTACTGCTACTCTACTACTGTACTACTACTGCACACCCTTCTGAGCCTGTCTCCAACTACAGGGCCAGGACGCACCAACCCCAAATCCTTCAACAACTTTTTTCCTCCCCCTTCAGCCCCAGGATGCACCATCCCACGCGCCGAAAGAGCCTATGGAGTCTTAGGGAGAAATCCATGCAAGCCCCAAGCCCCACCGAAACCAGACCCTCGAGTTTAATTTAGGAGCCTAAATACTTACCAATACTATTTTGGGGGTTCCTGATTATACGTATAGTATATTCGGCCCCAAAACCCTCTTCTTATTATAAAGGCCCCCGATATTTTTGTACCATGTAATTAGTACCCTTGTAGTATCCCTTATACTAGCCCTTGTAGACCCCTTTAAGCGGAGCCCTAGTCTCATTACAAAGGCCCTTGTATTACACCCAAAGCCTACACCTCGAACCCACGATCCGAACCACTGAAATGCTAAAGCCAAAAAAAAGCCAAAACCCAAACGCCCGAGCCCTAATCCCGAGCGTAGGCTTTGGGTGTAGTTTAGGGGCCTTTATAATGAGATTATACAAGGATCCCCCAAAATAGTGTTGGTAACCCCTAAAATTCCTAAAACCATATACCAAAAACCCGAAGGCCCAAAAAGCCCGAAGCCCCAAAACCCCCCAAGGCCCGAAACACACCAGTGACCTTAGCACGGCTTAAATTTGTTTGTTTGGCACCCCGTTTCACTCATGGTCTAAGGCTTAGACCTTATCAACCCTAAACACTAAACTTTAGTTTTGCCCTAAACTCCTCAGACCCCCTGGACTCCATGGAGCAATTGACCCTAAAACCCCTCGCCGAGGCACAACAGGTCGTCGTGCACGACAGAACCACAAACGACATCCTGGCTTGGGGGTGCAGGATCACAAAGAGCAATGCCTGAATCACTGACAACCTGCACTCCCAGGGTTCTTTATTATGATCTCCTGAATTTTTGTGCACCCTTAGAACCAAAACAATATGCTACTGTTACTACCGTTGATGACAACCTGAAAGATTTATGATGATCGGAACAAAATAATCATTAGAGCACTCAATCCAGAGAAACCTTCCATTGGAAAAAACCGGGATTGTAAGGGCCCGGTTTGCCCTTGAGGGTAATTATTGGCCCCGAACGTGTGCACATCGGCACCTCAAGCTCTGAACTCTTGCTTCAGGGTTTAGGGTGCTTGGATGTATCTCACATTCGAGGCTTCGGGGTGTTCGGAGGGCTCCAAACTCCAAAACCCGCTCCGATCGGACTGATGAAACCATTCTGCATGGAGGTCGGAAGGATTGGTACCACATCCACCGATGCTCCCGTAAACTGGACGGGGCCCCCATAGACGTGGTGCAACTTATCAACCTTTACTTTGTTAATCCCTATGCTAGGTACAAAGACACCTTGCAGCTCTTGGAATGCTCTTGGCATACAGCTAAACGGGCCAGAGTCACCGGATGCTCGATGAGGACGCCGAGGTTAACTGGTCGGAAAACAAGAGGAGCTGGTTCCAAGATTCTATGACTTGGCTCAGTGTATTTGCGAACACCAAGGATCCCAGTGCCTACCGTAGGGCCCTAAAGTAGTTCCTTTTTGGAGTTCATATTTAGAATCCTATTAGGCAATCCCCAAAAGGAACTACTTTGGGGCCTATGGGTATAGGGCTTGACAGGCAGTGTCCATAGGCTTTCAGCAGCATTGCTCAAGGGTTTGAGCGGGATTGAATTATGGGTGGGATCTTAACTTAGGTTTTACTCTGTTCAAGAGCACCAACAAAAAGGTCCTTCTTGTCGTCAGAATATTATGTTGTACTAGATCTATATGTGTATACATATACGAATATTCTGTTGTACTATATCTGTGTATATATAAATATAGATACATAATATATCTATGTGTGTATGTATATATATATATGTGCATATATATATATATACATATGTATGTAGAAAGACAGAGGGAGAGCTTGCGTATATATATATATATACATATATATATATTTATGTACATATATATATATATATATACATATATATATATATATATATTAGCTTGTGTACTTATTGTTGCTGTGTTCAGAGTTATTCTGATTATTACCAGTACCACTATTATTCTCATTGTTGCTATTATTAGTGTTAAGGATCGGTTGTCGCCTCGAGCTCTCTTTTGAAATGCCCAGAGCTACGCGGCTATGCACCACCGTAAGACATCCTTCTCAGTCTGACGATTGCCAATACTCTTCTTCTTAATTCTTATGATGATGATGATGATGATGATGATGATGATGATGGTAATTACCCACAGACCCCAAAGTAGTTGCTTTTGGGGATTACCTAGTAGGAACCCCCAAAAAGGAACTACTTTAGGGCCCTAGGGTAACCACAGACCCCTAAACGCAGCGAGTTGGAAGTTTCTTTATCAACTCATAGCTGCCCTACGCCCTGTAGGGTGCGGCATTACTTGAGAGGTAAGTGGTGCCTTGAGTTTGGAGTTTGGGGTTTGGGTTTGAGGATTTAAGTAGGTTTTGCAGGTGTAAGCGTTTCGGAACTCTCATGCTGCCAAGAACCTTGGTATGTAGGCATTCATGAAGGGTAGTTTCGGGAGGCTAGGCAGGACGATAAGCTCTAGACTCTAGACCCTGGATGGTAGACAGCGTTCTGGAACATAACATTGGAGTTTCCAAAAACAGCGGACCCTAATATGGTACCATAAACAGTAGGATCCGCATTCTAAGGGCCCCAACATAAGGTACCCCTTATTTTCGGAAACTCTAAAACCCTAAACCCTTTTTAGAACCCAAGATAAGGCACCCCTTATTTTCGGAAACTCCCACATAGGGTCCCGGGATAAGGGTCCAGGCTTTAAGTTTCCAGGCTTTAGGGTTTAGGTTCCTAGGGTTTAGGGTATAGGGTCCGACTCGCGATCGGAATCTTCCATTTCTCTTATCTTATCTTCCAGGGCCCCAAACGCCCCTATTTCCCCCTCTAAGCCCTATTTCCCCCTCCTACAGCTTCAGGATTTGAAGGTTCCTTACCATCATTTCCTGTATAGGCCTTTACAAAGCTTCAAGCAAGTCCGAAATCGCGTAACCCTAAACCAACCAACCAAAAGAAAAGCCCGCAGGCCCCCCGAGTGAGGCGACGACTGTGCTCCAGCTCCAGGCAGCGCCTAAGAGCAGGCTTAAGATTATTGCCTTAGGGTAGTTTAGGTCTGAGGTTTTGGTGCTTATAGTGGTTATAGGTTTTAGGGTCTAGGGCCTAGGGTTTGTACAGTAGTTCAAGGCATAGGTTTCAGGGTAGTTCAGGATTTAGGATTTATTCTGCACCATTTCGCGAGCCCTAAACGCTGCTACCTGCAGAGTTTTGGCGGTTTTCCACGTTTTCATGACACTGTGGTTCACAGCATTTGGCGGGTGTCTGGTTGGGGATAGCTTTAGAATATTTTCATGTTGCTCATTATGCTGCACCACACGTGGTATACATGATACCGCATGTTTTTGTGACAGCCTCTTTGTCGCTTGGTGTTCTGGGAACGGCCGTTACAGCAGTATGCAAGTCAACAAAGGGCGAGCAGCACTACGCAAATATAAAATGCCACCATGAATCAAACAACAACCAATTCCTTAGCCTTTATCAGCGGAAGCAATGTGGAGAGAAGCAGAAAGCCGCACTCTCCATGCAGCCGCTAAGAACGACTCCCCATGCAAAAGCCAGTCAATCTGTACAACCTTATCAACTCAAGGATTGTAGGGCCTACAGTTGGGGGTTTACGGTTCCTGTCGGAAGAAAGTCGTGTCTCCTCAACAGTGACAGAAGGTTCCTGAAAAAACAGCCTCTTGACAAAACCTCTACTACACAAGTCCTAGTCTCGCATCACGGAGCTCCCGCAACGTGACCACAATTTGACGAACATCCACCAACCCATCCAGATCGGTACAACTAAACCATGATGGCTCTTGACAACCCTGTCCGAGAGAGGTTTCAGGGCCCCAGGCAGAGGGACGACCTGTGTACGAAGGTAGACGGGCATGAACCAAAATGCCTCTGGCACGGCTTTGTCTTCGTCGCCCTACAGGCAACAGTAACCCGCAACGATGGCTGCTAGGGGCCTGGTGTTTTTTTCTGTTGTTCTCGGAAGCAAGAGTCCGATTGCACCTGACATGCTACTGTAAAGACAAGGATGCTAGGGAACAGAGCCCAGCGGGGGGTTCGTCGAAGCTACAGCATCAAGGATCCAAACATCAGCTGCCTTGCTCGTAACCGTCTCTGGAGCCTTCGACATGCAACACTTTTCCCACAACCAATCGCCACAACATGGTCATCATCTACCTTGTTGTACGCAAGTTTTTAAGGAAGCAGGAAGACGACACAGGGGTGCCCTTCACGAAACCACCACATAACCAACCTGCTCGGCATGCTTGACAGCAAAACCTTGAAACACTCCTCGGAAAACAATCTCCAATAGGGCCCCTCTTCTGCTTAAGACCCCGATCTTGTGTAGCGATTCAACTCAGAAGAAGCTCGCTAAAGATGGAAAAGCCGGGGCCCCGAATATACTTGAAATGCAGGCTTTATGGATGTTGGTTTATATTGGGCTTTGGGCCATACCATGGGACAAGACCAGAAATATCGACCGTCTAACTGAAATTCGGCGAGCGTCGAAAATGGTAATGCGCCGGATGACTTTGGATACCTCCGGAGGCGGTTGCATTTATAACTTCGGGTTTGTTCTTTGAGGTCTAGAGCGCTGGAGGAAAAACAACAGCCTTCGACCTTGGGTCCAACCCTTCTTGCGCCCTGCTACAAAACTTATGGAACCTTGGACCCTAAACCCCAAGACCCTAAACGATCCCTTCACCAGGACCCACAAAGGGGGGCCCTGTAACGGAGCCCTTATTGTCCTCAATAACGGGTATTTGGGGGACGATAGGGGGGTAGTTGGGGGGTTTAGGTGAAGGCTACCTTTCAAACACCCACTATTCAGGACCATAGGGGTCAGAGGACGTTTGGTTTTCACCCGCGAAACCTTCGATTCCTTATAGTGTAACCTGTCTAGGAGCTATTATTGTAACCTCGGTAGGAGCCCTTATAGGCTCCTCTATCGTAACCCTTGTAGTAACTGGAATAGCAACCCGAAAAAACAAACTTTGACTGTAGCCTTCTTGCGTGTGCGCACTTTCCCTGCCATGCCCCGTAGTTGGGCTGTAGTTTCGAAGGACCCAATAGGAGGGTACTTGGGTTTTGGGTAACATCGGCGCCGTGGGTGCGTAATATGGAGGCCTTAATAATTAGAATAGGGTTTTGGGGCCCGTTATACTGTAAATACAAAGAGGAACCCCCAAAACAGTAGTGGTAATCTAGCAATTGTTTAGAGCACTACGGTTGATGATATAAATCCTGCACTACCTTAAGGATTAAGGACCCTAAACTATGTCATGCAGGATTTATATCATCAACAGTATAGTGCACAGTCTGTGGATGTCCTGCCATGCTCCATGTGAAGAGTCGGCTCGAGGCAAGGAGCAAACCATGGTTCCTAATGTTATGACGTTCGGCCATTGGAAATGTAGGGGATATGTCCATTTAATTAAATTAGGGAAATAATAGGTTTTGAATAGGAAACAAATACGATTGAAAATAGGATTGTCTGGATAAATAGGAAATAAATAGGATTGGAAATAGCAAATAGATAGGAAAAAAATAGGGAAAATTTAGGATTGAAATTAGGTCCAAAACAAAGGCCAAATTAGGACATAGGAAATAAATAGGAAATAATTAGGAAATAGTTAGGAAATAATTAGGAAATAATTAGGAAATAATTAGGAAATAATTAGGAATTAGAAATTAGAGAAAAAAATAGGAAAAAATTAGGAAATAATTAGGAAACAGTTCTATTTTTCTATTAATTTCCTAATATTTTCTTATTTTTCTCCTATTTTTTCAATAATTTCCTATTTTTCTCCTATTTTCCTATTATTTTCCTATTATTTTCCTAATATTTTCCTATTTTTCTATTATTTTCCTATTATTTTCCTATTATTTTCCTATTTTCCTATTATTTTCCTATTTTTTCCTATTTTTCTCCTAAGTTCATAATATTTTCTTATTTTTCCAATAATTTCCTATTTTTCTCCTATTTTCCTAATATTTTCCTATTATTTTCCTAATATTTTCCTAATTTTCTCCTATTTTCCTAATATTTTCCTAATATTTTCCTATTTTCCACCTATTTCCTAGTATTTGGGCCCAGATGAACCTATTTTCTATCCTATTTTTGTCGTACTTTTGTCCTATTTTTTCCTATTTGTTTCGTATTTTATTCCTATTCTTTTCCTATTTCGAATCGTATCCATTTCGTATCTATTTCCTATTTTATCCCTAATTTAATAATCTGACATATCTGAACATTTCCATATGCTTCGACGTTACAATCCTAATGGTGGCTCTACTACGGGGGCCTTAATAATAGTTAGACTAGGATTTGGGGGGTATATTTGACAATACTTACGATAAGGAAACCCCAAATATAGTATGGGTAATTATTTAGGCCCCTATATTAATGCGTAGCTGATTTTGCCAATGTACCGTCCTCTTTTTGTTTGGTCTGTAGTTGATTGTCGGTTGTGCGGCCAGCTTCTGCGAGAGAAACCCTCACTCCGGTTTCGTCTGTCGGCTGAGTAACACCTCTGGCGCTTTACCCTAAACCCCTAAACCCTAAATCCTAAAGCCCGAAACGCTTATGGGTCCTTTCATAGAGCCCTTACAGATCCCTCGAAGAAGACCCCTAAACCTCTGAACCCCTCAACCCTCAACCCTTTGTAGTACGCTTATAGATCCCTTAAAGTAGTCCTTGAAGGAACCCTTAAAGGAACCCAGATACATCCCGTGAAGAGGAACCCAAAAGCCCTAAACCCGAAACCCCGTAAGCCCTAAACTCTATATAGTACCCTTCTAGATCCCTTGAAGTAGCCCTTAAAGGAACCCTAGAGGAACCCTTAAGACCCCAAGAAGCCAAACCCGCCTCGCGGTACAGGAGGAACTCCTCGTGCATGAACAGGAAGCGGTAGCGTGCCCTTTGCAGGTGCACCCTACACGGTTTAGGGTTTGGGGTTTAGGGTGGAAGGTTTTGGCTGTTAGGGTATATATGCGGTTTCGGGTTTAGGGTATAGGGTACACCCTACGTCTTCCAACCACCACCTACTCTTGGCTTTCGAAACGAAAACGAAGAGCAGAACACCAAAGTCCCGAAGTCACGGCACTGAGTAGGCGAAGCCCGATTGAGAAATGGAAGATACAGGAAATGCACATGGCTTCGGGGCCGGGCTTAACCCAAAACAAACCCATACCTGAATCTCCACAAAGCTCTAACAAACAACCTACTTTCTATAGGTATATGAAAGGGCTGATACAGTATTCTGTCAAGTTGATTTTCAAAAACTCCAAAGCTGTGAAGTCTCCGCATGTGCATTGAGGCTACATGTCGCTCGTCAGCAGGAATATGCCCCAACATGTGCGGCTTCTCTTTAAGAAGCATTGCACAGCATAAGGGCTAATCAGAGAGCTACGTCGAGCTTCGCTAAGTTGCAAAGGGTCTCTGAAATCGTCGAGACACTGTGCTGAAAGAAACCAGAATCTGTAACACCACACGCGCATGCGCACACCTTGTCCCATGCAAACACACACAAACAATTGCAGAGACACACACACACACACACACACGCGCACACACACACACACGCACACGCACACGCACACGCACATGCACATGCACACAGACCTCTATTGACATTACGATGGCACGGTAAACCTACACTTTTTGACTGGTTCCTGATTCCTGAACTTTGCATGTTTTAACTCTGAGGTCGTGGCAGCTGAGTCTTGGCCGCCAGGGACAACCCGTGCTTCCCGAAGGCCGTCCAACCTGGAAGCCGAAGGTTTTGGGCTGACCGGCCGGGCTCCTAGAGCTTTTGATGGTATTACTGACGAAGATGACGACGACAAGGATGATGTTGAGCGTGGTCTGAACGTCGACTCATGTCCCGGTCTAGAGCAGCACAACATCATGAGCAGTAAGACAAGGGCCAACACATAAGAACGACGCGGCAAAAAGAGTACCACCACAGGCCCCACACCACAGGGGGGGCCGGGGGGGGGGGAAGGGGAGAGGATACCATGGGGTGGGGGGGGGAGGGGTGTGGCAGCCCTGCATCATATATTAGGGGGGGTGGGGGAGCGTTTTATATTAGTGGGGGAAACGATTGCTGACTTCTTATGGGTCCATTTTTTTGGATGTGGCGTTTTTTACCCTATAAACTCTGACCCGGGAAACAAAAGGTTCAGGGCCTCAAGCCTCAATCGGCTTTAGGATAGGGGTTTGGATCAAGTCCATGGCGCGTTTGAGGGTTTTGGGTTTAGAGGTTTAGCGTTTGGGGGATTTAAAGTTTAGGATGACGGGGTTGCGAGTTGCGTTTTTTCTGGTTTGGGGCTCAGCGTTAACGGTTTGTGTACGGGTTTTAGAGTTTCAGGGCTCTGCACTAAGGGACTAAGGGTGTATAGTTTTGCAGCTATAGGGCTTGGGCATTTGGACTTCGGTCATAGCACAACAAAGGACCTTCCTATGAAAATAACGGATGCCACGCAGCCGAAGAACCAAGCCTACACGATTACACTCAATCAGTCCTTGAAGATACACTTACGCCAGAAGAGCTCAAATGCCAAGACCTGAACAACGATTCCTAGAAGCGAGAACCCCACGAACAGAGTATCGATTTAAGCGCCACGACGAGACCGGGTTAGGGTTCAATTAGGGTTTGCCACACAAACCCTCCGCAAGCCTATGAACTAGTTGGTACCTAGAGCTCGGAAAAGCACATCCAACGATCAGAAAAGCGACATTCTCGACTACTAGGACGGAATATCGGGCCGCACACGGGACTCGATGTGGTCGACATGGTAGTCGGTGTCCTGACCAACCCGTTCAGTATTTGGCAGAAGTCTCGGCAAACTTCGTTTGTAGCCTCTGCATAGGCTGAATGGTACCTTGCGAACCGGGACTGTGCCATCGATATCGCTTATCTTCACCACTGGTAACTGAATCCCACGTTTTTTGAAGCAGTGGTTTTGTGGTATGTATATATAGATATATACCTGGTCAGTTCTGGTTGCAAACGCCGCCAAAAATAGCGTTTCCAGCACCATCACGTGGATCAACCCGCACACTCAAAACTCAACCTCTGAAGCGCGCAGTGGAGGGCGTACAATTTGAGACATGCTTGGGTTAACATTACGGAGGTAAAGCGGCGTTCCAATCAGTGCCGTTTTAGAAGTTGAAGTTCAGTCGACCTTTTACACGCTCCTTCAACAGCTGGAGGCTTGGAGTCTAAATCTAACATCCAGCCGATCTGGCAATAGATTTAGGAGACGTGCTGCGCATATCCAATCCAACAGCACATCAGTTTGTGACGCCGAAAAGCCCTGCATTCCGAAATATGATAAACATGAACCCTAAACTTTGCCAGCCAAATCAACAGTCTTAAACCTTCGGCGCAATGCTGACAGCACTGTGGCTTAGAACGTTCCAGGGCGCATTCGTGTTTTACTGTTCACAAAGACGAAGCCCAACCCTCATTGTTAGCCTCGCTGTGGGCTTCAGTCGACTCGGAAAGCTTCTGGCTGTTCATGGTGGCCTGTGCGAGAATCTTTGAGTCTATGAGGCTTCAGGTGCTAGATACACAAATACAGGATATGCAATGTCTGGAAACATGTCGAGACCCTACATAGAGGGTAGGATTATGGCATTCGGCAACTTAAACAAATCGCAATGCACCGTACCAGGCAGGGTAGTGGCAGTGGTCGCGGTAGTGGTAGTGGTAGGGGCAGTGGCAGCGGTAGTGGTCGTGGCAGTAGTGGTAGTTGTCGTCATTGTCGTCGTCGTAGCCGTACTAGTCGGAGTAGGTGTGTTGGTAGTTGTAGTCGTCGTCGCCGCAGTAGCAGTGGCAGTAATAAAGTTGTCAGACTCAGGTCCCATTTTTCGGACCGAGGCAGCAAAGATGTTTTGTTTGTTTGTTTGGGGGAGATTGCATCACGGCGGTCCGGCTACAGACTCGGTGTGCGCTCCCAAGGTTGGACAGATAAACACAACTAACACAAGGCAACGGTTGAAGCAGTGAGACTCTTGCCATACCCAACAACCAAACATTGCGGACCCCCATCTCAGGCCAGAAGCCTGTCCGAAACACACCACCCACCGGTCGCCTCAGACTGGTACTGCCCGGCTTGTTGGAACTTCGCGCCCTCCCTGTGGGATGGCTTAGGGTATTGGCTTGAATTTGTTGGAGCTTGAGCGAAACGTTTCCTCTCGCGCTATGGACTGGTGCAATGCATGCTTGGGCGCTCAGCGCTGGGTCCAATTACGCGATAGTGCAGGGTCCAGACTGCACCGTAAGCAAAGTCGGCGGGCCTGCGTTGGGAGAGTTGTGTCGGAAACACTGAATGCCTCTATCATCGATACCCCTGCAGATCAAAAGCCAGCCGTTACACGAAGCTGGGAGTTCTTGTTGCCGAAATCGTTACTGGCCTCTGTGTCATGTGTCCTTCTACCCTCCGTTCTGTCACGTCCTTATCACATACATCGCAACACCATGCTCGCAAACAGGCTGCTTCGCGACGGCCTTTCGGTCGCACAGTTTTTTGACCAGGCACCGGGCATCCCGACCACACATCCATCCCAAAACACCTACTGGCAACACTAAACCCCGAAACAAACAGAGATTGACCTGCGTATGCAATGTAGGGGCTGTAGTCAGTGACTTTAGCGATTTTTAAAGAACTGAGCCTTGATCGTACACCTGCCCCCTGGGAATGGGCACCGTGAGGTTTATGCTTTCAGAGCCGTCCCTCAACCCTAAACACAAAGACCGCCGCCGTAAACCCTTAACCTTAGGTACTGCCCCCATACAGTAAGAGTTATAACTATATGATGAATATTATTCGACTATTACTGAGTGGGGGCCGTACCCAACCCTTAACCCAAGGACCTCAACCCTGAGCCCTAAAGCTCAACAACCTGAAGCCAAAGCCTGGTAACCCGCAACATCACTATACTGAACTTAGAACCCAAGCAAAAATTAAAATTTTAGCTGTTTCTTAGGTATTTTTATAACCAAAAATAAAAAAATATTTCTAAGTACCCCTAAGATCAGGTCTGGCTGGAAGGACTGCTAAAGTGCTACTCAGAGGGTGCGGTGTTTAGGATTTCAGGGCTTAGGGTGTAGGGGGGCTGAGGCTTTGGACATGCAAGAATTCGTTGCTGCCGCTGCTGCTGCTGCTACTACTACTACGACGACTACTACTACCACATATATGGTCTTGTAACCGACGGCTGGCTTCCTCGAGAAGCAAAGTGACACCCTGAGAAGCCCAACAATGTTTGAAACCAATAACAGTCAATAACAATGAAAGGGGCCTTGAATGTTACTTTGAGGCTTAATATAAAAGCTGTCTGATTTAAGGGACATAATTACAATGTAGGGGCCTTGATAAATCGAATATGGTCTTGGAATATACTATACGATGATGCCACGACTATAATGAGGGCTTATGTTGTAGTATACTTGAAAGACCATCATATAAGGAGATACTATTGCCAGTGAATTATTACAAGCCCTTTCGTCTTGGCTATGAGCTATAAGCAACTTCAAAGCCAAGCAACCACCATGCTAGGCATCTATGGGAACTCAGCGTCAACGGACATTGTTACCGCGCAGCCTGAAGTTCATCGTTTGACAGGTGCACAACCCCAAACCATCCGGACGTACCACAGCAATGTAGGGGCCTTGACAATCAGAATAGGGTTTGGGGGTATATTATACTCTAACTATAAGAAGGAACCCCCAAAACCCTATTCTAATCATTAAGCCCTACAGTAGGCGCCTTTAGTCCATGTGGATGCCATTTGTGGTTGGCCCTTTCATGAAGCTTATTTAGGTCCCGGACTAATATAGTGGCCTTAATCATTTAAATAGGGTTTTCGGGCCTATGGTACTATATTTTCCAGGAACCCCCCAAAATAGTACAGCTAATTATTAAGGCCCCTATAGTACATGCTGGGAACCATAGGCTTTGCCGTGCCGGGCCGAGGCCGGACCTGCCAGCAAATGACGGTGGTCAGCCCTCTTTATCTGAATCGGTCATCAAAGGGGGGGAGCCAGGAAAGCCTTTGAATGGTCTCAAGTGCCGCATCTCAGATTTCATGGCTCGCTCGAACAGACTGAGGCTCACTGGTTATTCTCCCGTCTGAGTCGTATGGACCGCTAAACCCGAAACCCTGAACGAGCATCGTACATGGTGCGGAAAGACAAACAAATTCTCATGAACAAACCCCTTAGAAGCCGAGATACCTACATAATTAGTAGGTTGCTGGTTCTTGTATGTATGTAAACGTATGTCGTATATATATATATATATATATATATGTATATATATATACATATATATATAAGCATACATATAAATGTATATATGTATATATATGTATATATATATATATATATGGTCACCCCCCCCCCCATGACTGAGGGGAACGCAGAAGGGGGCAACGGTCTGTCAGGCAAAGGTTGACCCTTCGACGAAGTTCGTTTTTTCAAAAACCCTTCGGCGAACTTCTGCGAACGTTTTGGGGGTTCGTGAGGGGTTCGTGGGTTGTTCGGTTACAAGATAAAGTTCTGATATGTTGTTAAAATTCCCAAGTATATTAAAAGCTTCAATAAGAATTTACGACACTACACCCCGGATAGTCTGTGAAGTTTATATGTCAGCGAGATGAAATGATGATGATTTGCCACGCCTTTTTCTCTGCATCTTGCAGGGATTTCCTGCGAATGTCTTTCCAAAAATACGGAGTTTCTTGCGTTACTCTGGCTCATTAGCAAAAATTCTTGCCAGGGCCCGACAGTCGTTCAGTGCAGGTCCAGGAAGTGCAGAATCCTGGCGGGCGGGAGTGTAAAATCACAAATGAGGTGCGTCAAAAGGCTTGTTGCTCTGGCAACCCGTTTTCTCTCTTGCGACTTCTGCGGCCAGTGACTAAGGCAGCGTTTTATCGCAAACGGCCCGGCAAGGCGGTTGATCGCCAAAACTTGCCAGGTTCAGCGGCCGAGGACTCGATTAAAATTTCTTGCCTTCAGAAACAGCGGCAGCGGAATTCGGCAGAGTCAGGCCGGGGCGCTCTTGAAATACTTCCCTGCTCTCTGACCTACAGTCTCGGAAGACTCAGAAGCAGGGGTAACCCGAGAACACAAAAGCATGTGACACCAACTTTCAGCGATGCATTTTTTATGTTAAAAATAATAATGCTTCTTCTGTGTTCTTGCCCCTGAAACAATCTCAGTCAAGTTTACTTTGGCGATCCTCGCCCTCCTGATGCTGGCGACTTGATCGAGCTGACGGGCGATCCGGCGAGGGTCTTCGGACTCTTGCTAGGCGACGACTTGGAATTGATCTTGCGCTTCGGCGTCCGCGGGGGAGTGTTCTTGCCGTTCCCAGCTGCCGGTTGAAGCGCAGTCTCCGATTTCGCCTGCCACGATTTCGTCTTCTTGCCATCACCAGAACCGGCTTCGGGGGAGGAACCCGTCGGGCACTCCTTCAGAAAGAACGGGCTCTCGGGCAAGGTCTTGCCCTCGTTGATGTCGGAATTCAGGATCTTGCACACCGAGATGTCCACCAACCCAGCACCTGACGGAATTGCTATGCAACGAACAATTGAGTTGGAAGAAGTGGTTTCAACATGTTCTGAATAGACGAGAGAACTAGAGAAGCGCGTGCTTAGATAACTTGATCTGAAAGATTCGCACATTGCAGCTGAGAAACTCAAGGATGTGTTGAAGTTTCTTGCGCACATGACCTTGATGTTGTCGATGTTCTGCATCTCCGGCGGAAGCTTAAACATCAAGTCGGTCTGCATGTACCGCAACTGACTCTTGCCGTCGTCCTGCTTCTCCAGCCTCCAGTAGCTGCAGGAGGGATCGTCACAGAACTCCTTGAGAACGCGGACTCTTGGGCTTGGGTGAATTTAAGGCCAACCGATCCGACAAACAAGGCAACGGTTAAACCGAATTCATTCAACTTGAATTTTCACTGACTTGGACTCACGACCCCAGCCGCATGTTGGGCCTAAGAGGCTGAGCAATGAACAGGCGGCGGAAAATCACGATGTTGCCGCAGGATGCCTTACTTAGGCGGGTTAAACGAGTAGGTCCTGGAAGGTCGTCTCTGGCCCCCGTGGCTCCCAGGTTTCTAGCCGGCTGCCGTAGTCTGTGAAGCGCTTCATCATGAAGTCCTCAAGCGCGACCATGCTCTTGCTCGGCAACGCGCTGTTGACGTCGCAGTGAGTGATGAACCTACGGCGAGTGAGGTGTTTTGCACTTTTCTTGCTTCGGCAGAGGCAAAGAAGATTTGAATGAAAGATTGTTTTACATGTACTACTGATTCACAGCCAAGCTACGCGAGCAGGGTCGCCAGGAAAGCACGCTCTATCTTGCACCTGAAGTTCTTCTGCTGTTTGTCCAAGAACGACATCACTTTGGGAATCATCTTGCAAAGCAGCGGTCGCGTTTGCTCTTGCCCAAGCAATCGGAACTTGTTCATGTAGGGCTTCAGCTTCTGCTCCGACGAGTCGTCGTCGCCC